GCATATCAGGAAAGACACTTAGGCGATTTGGAAACACGTTGCCGCACCAGCACTCCCCGATGAATATTCAGTACCTGCGAGTTGAAAGCCCTTTCGAGTCGCAGTATGCAACGCACTTTTCATTGGACATGTTGCCTGCATAGTAAATCTCTTGAGTCGCAGTCCCAGCGTTCGCTGCGGATTGTCGTTGAAGCATCCGAGGTATGACCATCCGCCTGCAATTGGGGCTACTCTGGCAACAATGCCATCGTCTCCTTCGCCGACGTCATCATCAGGCGGTACAACTCCATTGCTGTTGTCTGATGAGGCTCCATACGGAGCTGGACGACTGCCCGGGGAGTTGCCCGCTGGACATCCCAACCCTGTGCAATCTCCGTTACTGTTGTCAGTTCCAGTGCTTTGGCCGCTCCCTGGGCGGTTTGAAGGGCATCCAACTCTTGTGCATGCACTTTCTCCACCTGGACTTCCTGGGGTACTTGTCAGTGGAGGACAGGTCGGCCCTGAGCATATCGGGGGAGCGTGATCTTGTTCGCCAACACCATTGTTATCATATGGTCCGTCCGCAGTACTTGCATTATCACTGCCGCCTGATCCCCCGTTCGGATTGCTGACAGGACTACCATTCGATCCGCTGTCAGGGCCGTTGCCGGCGCCGCCGCCGTGTCCAATATTTGATCCAGAAATATGATCATTTGTTGGCGATTGAGGGACCACAACAGTCGTCGTAATAACCATTGGAGGGGGTGAAGCACGTGTGGGTGGAACAGGAGTTGGACCCGGTGCGCAATACCATCCACCATCGCAATGATAGCATGGCCATCCCCATCCACAAGGGCATTTTTGCATTGGTGTTTCTTTTGGGGGACAGAACCATCCGTCCAGGCATTCTTTGCAAGAATACCCTCGCCCCGGGCATGGTCCTAGAATCGGATCGGGAATAGTTGGCGAGGGCACAGGGCAATTAAGGCCAGGCCCAGGATATGTCGGGCAAGCTGGACAAGCAGACGAAGGGATAGCCAAAAGGGTTGAGGATGAAGCGGAAAACCCGGTTGGGACACCGCTGCCCGGCAATCCGTTGCTGAGTGAATCAGGACTGCCCAGGATTTCACTCTCATTTGGGGAGCCGGTGCCCGGAATAGTGCTGTCTGGTCCAGGAGCTTGCGGCGGCAACTGAGCCCCGGATAGGCCGCCTGGATCGGATTCGGAAGCAGGCGGCTGGGCTACAGCAGGCTGACCTAGATTCTGTGGTTTGGGCTGCCCAGAGCCTGAAGTGACAGAGGCTGGTCGTGGCTGCAGTCCTTGAGCAGGTTGGGACACATAGTCAGGTTGGGGCCCGTCGTCAGGCTGTGGTCCGTCGCCAGGCTGGGGTCTATACCCGGGCCGCGGGGCTTGTCCATCTGAGGACAACCCGTTATTGCTGGAACCACTATTGGCTTGTGGCTGTTGTCCGGGCTGTGCACCTTGACTGTTCTGCTGCGTCGTGCCAGGGCTTGTACCAGGCTGCTGAGTAGATCCATCGCCGGACTGTGAGGTTTGACCCGACTGCTGAGCATTTCCGCCTGGCTGACTGCCTGTTGCTGGGTGCAGCGTTGCACCCTGATCTTGCTGCCCATCTTGCTGTTGGTCGCCAGCCTGCTGAGCTCCGGCTTGCTGAGGTTGGCCCGCGGGCTGACTCGTAGACTGACCTTGCGCCGGCTGGCCCTGTCCTTGCTGTTGAGGCTGACCAGCAGGCAGACGCGGGTCTGGTTGCTGCTGCTCTCCTAGGGGGCTAGGTGATTGGGCTTGACCCGGTGATGGTCCGGTGCCGGGTGGTTGTTGTCCAGGCTGCTGTCCAGGACCGTTTGTTTCGGGCTCAGGTTGGGGGGCAGGGTATCCTTGAAGTGGCTGAGCAGTGACTCGAGGCTGTCCTGGGCCCAAATCGCCGGTGAACGCTGTCACGAGAGGTTCATCTGGCTGATCTGCAGAGAATCCTTGGGAATCGGCCGAACCGCCACCTTGCTGAGCCCCTCCATCTGGTGCGCCGCTGCTTGGGGAAGCCTCAAGGCCTGCTGGAAGTGCGGCAGTCGTGAACAAACCGCCCGGGACCAAGATTGTATCGCTAGAAGGCAGTGCAACTCCTTCGCCAGGGCTAAATTGGGCTCCTGGTGCAGTTCCTATGCTGTTCTCCTTGTGTGAGACGTCATCGGTCGATGGCGGGGTGGGCACAATGTTGAGAGGTGAAGCACCGTTATTGGGGAACTCCATGCGCGTAGGAGCGTCATTATTGACACCGGCACCCGCTGCATTGCTGGCCGGCAGATTGGTTACAGTTGAGGGCGACTAGACCTGTCCTGCTGGAGTCGTTGCTTCCCGAGCATCCGGCGATTGAACCAGACTGGCTTGATTCGGGACGTCTACGACGGGAGTTGTTGGCGGCTGGTTCATTCCTCCTGCGCCTTGCGCATCACCAGGACCCCCCGGGCGCTGACCATTGGTTGTACTCTCGTCACCAAAGGTTTCTGGAACTGAAGGGACATCGTCGTGGTCCAGCATGCTTGGCACTGGCAGAGGTAGAGAACCGTCGAATTGTGAAGCGTGGTTGCTGGAGATGTCGCCTAGTGCTGGCATGACACCAGGGCCATTGTTGGTGTTACCAGGTACGGGCATTTCATTGGAGATAGTGAGATCGATCTTGTGAGGAAGCTGTGGTTCAGAGTTGTCCACGACGAGGCCAGAATTCTTGGGATCGGGATCGCCCCGGCTAACTTGAAGACCGAAGGCACCCCACGGAACACCGAACAGCTGTCTTCTCTCGGCAGAAGTAGGTTCGTCTGAAGAGAGCGAGTTACCTCTTCGATTCTCTTCAACGACGGGTGATGCTGCGACCAGTCCTGAAGCAACCAGGACAACAAGATAATAGAATAGAAGAGAATAGTGAGAGGAATTGGGTTTGCAAGGGCGCGGACTCGATTGCCGCAATGACGTATTGAGGAGCATCTTTGTGGGTAGCTTAGTACGCTCGAAAAGCAAACGGTTCTCTCGGCTTTTTTCTAGACTAGAGTGGAAGATTCTGATGGCGATGAGTAAGACTCGAACGAAAGGAAGCACTTCCAAAAGGGTGGTACCAAGAAAGACAGCCAAAAAGCGAGGTCGGAAGATTGCCTGAAGGAAAGCGTTGTTGATGCATTGGAGGAGACAGAATCTGAGATTGAAACAAACGAGGCGAAGTGATAGATATGGCTGCTAGCTCTCGATGCAGGTACCATTGACCATCCTCACACTTTCCTCAGACTGTCATTGCTTTCAGATACATGGAAAGAGCTCCAGTTAGTCCAGTCAGGCCGTGGCAGTCGAGCCGCCTCGCAAGACTAAGAGTGACTCCCCTTGAAGAGCCTGACCCCCCGAGTTGCCTTCATCATGATTCAGGTGCTTCGTGTAGTCTATTCAGGGGAAGCTGAAAAGCGGTCTGGAAAGAGATGCCTGGGTTTCTTTCACTCTTCATGATGTAAATCTGCTTGTCGACATCACAGGAAGGTGGGGTGAAGTTGGCGGGGCAGTCGCAACGCGCGCACAGACCACACCTTAATGCATCCCCGGCCAGTCAATCCCCGACCGCCGACAAAATTTCCAAAAAATTTGGCAAGAGACTGTTCAGTAGCAGCTTCTCTCCCGAAGACCTGAAGAAGCTCGCCAGGCACCACGTCTCCCCCCTTCCCACCGGCAACGTAACAGCCTCCTCAACGCGAACCGACACCGATTGATTCATTCCACTCAACGAGGCCATAGCCAGCGTCCAAATATGGACATCCACCGCTGCCGCTTCGTTCCTTATCCTCCTTCCCCCATCAACGCCCTCGCCTTTTCCCGCCCCTCCACCCGTTCCACCCTCCAGGCGAGCCTCAACCGCCTCGCTGTCGGACGCGCAAATGGCGACATTGAGCTCTGGAATCCCTCCAGTGGCGCCTGGCACCAGGAGAAGATCATTCATGGCGGCAACGACCGCTCCGTCGACGGTCTTGTGTGGGTCGTTGAGCCCGACGAGGAGCTTCCTCACGCCTCGCTCGATGCCCCCGCCGAGAAGGCACCCATCATGCCCGGCCGCTCCCGCCTCTTCAGCATAGGCTACACCTCCGCCGTCACAGAATGGGATCTCGAGAAGGGACGGCCTCTTCGTACCGCCAGCGGCCAGCATGGCGATATCTGGTGCATCGCCGCCCAGCCCGCCCCGACCGGCAATAAGGCCCTCGCCTCTCCCAACGATGGCGTCTCCAAGCTCGTTGCAGGCACCATCGACGGTGCGCTGGCCATCTACACCATTGCCGACTCGGACCTTCGCTTTCAGCGTCTCCTTGTCAAGTCTCCCGCTCGCAAGACGCAGATGGTGAGCATTGCCTTCCAGTCCCGCGATGTTGTCGTTGTCGGCTGCAGCGACTCTACCCTTCGCGCCTATGATATGCGCAACGGCTTGATGCTACGCAAGATGACACTCGGTGCCGATCTTGCCGGCGGCTCCAAGGAGATCATTGTTTGGTCCGTCAAGTGTCTGCCGAACGGCGACATCGTTTCTGGCGATTCGACTGGGCACGTGACTATATGGGACGGAAAGACCTACACCCAGATGCAAAGACTGCAGAGCCATCGCCAGGATGTCCTCAGTCTGGCGACAAGCAATGACGGAACTGCACTGCTGAGTGGAGGCATGGACCGTAGGACCGTCCTGTACAAGAAGACCGCTGGCGCAGGCTCCAGGTGGGGCAAGGTTTGGAGCAGGAAATACCACGATCACGACGTCAAGGCTATGGCTTCCTTTGAGAGCGCAAAAATGAGTGTTGTGGTATCAGGAGGTGAGCACAAGTCCCGAGTTCTTCTCCTTTCTCACTGATGCTAACCTGACAGGACCCGATGCGTCCCCGGTTGTGCTCCCTCTCAAGGAGCTCGGCCGTGAGAACCACCGTACACTTCAGAACCTTCCTCAACAGCCACCTCTCCAGAGCGCACCCAAGGCGCGCCTTATCGTGAGCTGGTGGGACCGAGAGGTCAACATTTGGAGGCTGCGCCAGACTTTTGACGGCATCTACAACAACGACGCCGAGGATGTCAACAAGAACCGCAAGCTTCTAAAGACCATTCTTATCAAGGGCGAATCCAGCATTTCCGCAGCCTCCATTTCCCCTGATGGAAGCGTGCTCGCCGTGGCTACAGCCACCGAGTTCAAGGCCTTCCACCTCCAGCACCAGAACCCTACCAAGCCCTCCGATATTCGGCTCTCGCAGATTGAGGTCCCCGCTTCGCTCGCCAACAACGGAGCCAACCTGGTGCAGATATCGCCGGACGGAAACTGGCTCGTTGCGATCCAGGACGGAACCAGGATGCTCCTCTTGCGAATTAAGCACGACGCCACCAGTGACGAGGCCCCGACTCTGGCCAGGCCGCAGAGCGTGACGCGCATGAAGCGTAAGATTCCCAAGCACTTGAAATTAGGAGGTCTTGGCAACTACGAAAGGACCATTACGCACGCGACCTTTGCCCCTGACAGCAAGATGCTCGCTGTGGCCGATCTGGCTGGCTACATCGATACATGGGTTCTTCGCTCCGACGGTGAGACCGACGAAGATGACGACGCGTCATCTGACAGCGACTTTTCCGAGAGTGAGGCCGACGTCGAGGAGGCTGACGACGCAACGGGTAGCAAAGAGCGATGGCAGCACACCCCCGCGTCCACGCTGCTGCCCAAGCTGCCTGCGCCGCCTGTCGTCCTGTCTTTCGCGCCCGAGGCGTCTGACGCACCCTACACCCTCCTCGCCGTGACAAACGTCTGGCACATACTAGCATTCAACCCGCTTGAGGGCGGTCTGACGCCTTGGTCCCGCCGCAACCCCTCCGCTCGTCTGCCCAACACCATCCGCGACACGCGCGACCTCGCCAAGGGAATCCTCTGGCAGGGTCCTCGCGCCTGGATCTACGGCGTGTCGTTCCTCTTCATGCTCGATCTTTCGCAGGACCTCAGTGACCCCAGCGCCGCCTCCACGGCCCTGACTACCGACAGCAACGCGTCAGCGCTTGCCAAGGCGGGCCAGAAGAGGAAGCGCAAGGGCGCAGAGAGCGGTGCGGGCAACCGCATGGCCATCGGTTCTCTCGTCCCCCAGCAGGTTGACCGCTATGTCAGTGGCAAGGACTGGCAGACCGACCTCGAAAACGCGGCGGCGGCGACGCGATCCGAGGGCAGCGACACGGACATGGCAGATGCCGATCAAGAGGAGGAGGACGATGACGATGAAGACAATGACAACGACGATCTCGGCAATGAGAGCGAGCATGATGCGCTCGCGACGCTGCGGAACCGGGACACGCAGATGGATGCCAGCAGCGGCTCCGGACGCAAGAAGTGGTGGTACACGTACAAGTACAGGCCGATCCTTGGCATTGTAGCCCTGGACCCTGCCGGTGATGGCGCCGCTCAGCCGGCGTCCGAGTCAGGCGATTCGTCGGATCTGCCATCACTGGAGGCTGTCCTTGTGGAGAGGCCACTGTGGGACGTTGACCTCCCCGAGCGGTACTTTGGCGCCAACGAGGCTGAAAGGAGATGAGTGGCATGACATTGTACTGAGTAGACAAGCAAAACGGGCAGCGGTGAATGAGGAGGATCGCGTCAAGCATGCCCCAAAGGAGAGGAGGCGGGACGAGCTACTTCCTGCAGCCTGTCGATAGAAGATGGGGCAGTTGCGGTCTGTTCTTCCTGGGGTAGTCTCTGGAGTCAAAATCTATTCGCTTCCGGGTTTCCAGCTTGGTCCACCACACTGCGCCTGACAGCCACGCATGCGACCCCGTGCCAAGGCCCATCTCGATGGCAAAGCTTGTTCTCGCTCAGTCCGGACCGGCCTCCCTCTATGTGACTCGTCAGGCCTGCCCGATAGTGATGGCAAGTGTGGAGCGGCTGCTGGCCGTACCTTGCCCATGCAGAGGCGCTCTTTCGCAATGGGGAGGTTTCCTCGACGATGCATGGCCAACAGAGCATAGACAGAACAAGCTCCATGGCTTGCCTTAGGGCCGTAATCGAGTGGGGAGAGTGACGGGCGCTGGCCTCTTCTTTTCTTCTTTCTTTCTTTCTTTCTTTCCTTCTTTCTTCCTTGTGCTCTCCTGATTTCGTTCCACCCTAGTTTGTCTGTTGGTGATTTACACGGCTCGCTGGGCCCGGAGGAAGGTTCATCGGCATCTCTGGCGACTCAGCCGCCCTGGAATATCACGGGACCTCTTCTTCTCGAACTCTGATGCAGACCGTGCTCTCGGCCGTGCACACTCAACCATACACACATATTTTTTTTTTGCAGTACAAGCGATTGCGACATGAGCCATCCCCGGGGGAAAGGGGGCGGGGCCGCAGGCGAACGTTATTTTGGTACGGTGTCGTCACTTGGTGATTAGGTTCGAGAGGGCATTCCGGGATTGCGGCTGTCGGAGGATTAGTCACCCAGTGAGTTGCTGCGTTTGCACCAGATAGATAGATAGATAGATAGACAGACAGACAGACAGACAGACAGACGAAAGAGACCCTGCCCAAGCGGACAAACTCCAGATCTCGGCTCGATGCGGTTAGCGCGTGGGCGATGCCGCGTGGATACCGTCTGGGATGCTGATCTGTGGTCTCGACAGGACTTTGAACGCGCGTCCCTAACCCCCCTCCCCCCAAAATGCCCCGACCCGACTTCCTGACTATTGCGGCTCTCTGGCTGGTCTGTTCGTTTCGTTCGGCGGGGCGACCAGCTCCCAGCTGGCCTTTGTCACGACTGCCGTCCCTGAATGTGGACAATGAAATGGGGAAAAAGAACCATGTGGAGGCAGGTTACATGCAACATGGCAAAGAATGAAAGAGCAGAAGCTTCCGGTTTGATTGTTCCAAAGGGGAAGTGTTGGACTGGTTCCACATCATCGCAAAGAACGACAAGCGGATTCCCACGAGCAGCCGAGTACGGGCCTCGTCATCTCTATTCTAAGGTACGCGAGTGTCCAAACATCACAGCCCAACAAGCGAGAGAGAGGAGATGGTCATGACAGGAGAGCACCAAGACATTGGTCCCTACTTATTTTTAAAGCTGCGAGGAAGAGGTTTGAAGGGGAATGGGTTTGGGGTGACGTGCTTGGCGCAACGAGAGACGAGACAGCGCCGTCGTCAGCGAATGGCATTCGAGCGGCGACGAGCGAGCCCAGCTGGCTGTCTCCGGCTGCTGCCAGTCACCGGTACCGAGCAGGACAAAATGGTTCGTCCCAAGGCTATAGGTACATGTCCATAGCGAAACGCAGCGCGCGCCCATGTCTCATGCTGACTTGGCGGCTTGCACCCACCTCCCCGACGGCAACGGGCCAGCGCTTTGCACAGCAAACTTTCGATGCGTGCGTCTCCTCCGCCATGTGATGTGGGGTGGCAATCACAGCAGAACCCGTACTTGTACGCGCAAGCTGTACCCCTTGGATCCAGTGGGCACGCACCAACAAGAGAGAAAAAAAAAAAGGTCGCACAAGGCTGCGCGCTAGTCATGTCCGCCCGGCACGCGGCAGACATGGGAGATGAGCTGCTGGCCGACGACGTGTCAGTCGTTTTCGCACTACAGGCTACGCGACGGCTGTCGGCTGCGTCTTGCAAGCCTCGTTGCCGGATGTCTTCGGATGCTTGTGAGCAAGAGAGTTAAGTAGCGAGGGTCCTTAGCGCGATGAGTTGATGAGCTGAGCTTCTGCCTTTTTCACCCCTGTTCTCAAAGATCTGGAGGCAGCACGCGATAGCGTTACGACGTGGAGGATCCAGAATCGAGCAGCAGCAATTCTGAATCGATGCTTTCTGAGCATGGGCGGCGCCGGGCCAAGTCAGACGGCATGTCGGAGTGCTTCCCTCGAGGGGTTCGTTTCTTTGTCGCAGACATACCAGATTATACTTCGGCACTCGAGAGCATCTGTGCGGGAAGTTCTCCATGTAGATTCCTCGACAGCGGCGTAATATTGATGGCCGAACCGCGTCAAGACTGGGCAACTGTCAGGATCGTGAAGCGAAAGCCATCATGTCGTACGATTGAAGCCGGGGGCGCAATCTATTTTCCCTCTCAAGGCCAAGCAGGCTATAGGTCTTGGTGTTGGACGCGACTGAGTAGGGGTCCAAGTCCAGCACAGCAGTGGCCTGCACGGCATCACGGCACCACGGCACCACGGCACCACGGCATCTAGGATCCAGTGGAGGGACCTGGTAAGAAGAGGGGGGAAGAAAATCAAACAAAATCGGGCTAGCTAGGTGATCACACCCTAAGAGGAGGCGGTCTAGATTAGCACTGTTGCGGAGGCAGAATAGATTGCCATGGGATGGGGTCGTAACAGAAGGGGTAATCTTGAGGGCGATATCGACAATCACAACGGAGAGGCAAAAAAAAGAATAAAGGGAAAATGGACAACATGTCGATCGCGCATGGCGAGAAACGAATGGGCTTGAGACGGCGGTCCAAGGAAGCGGCGCTCAGGACTGCAGATCCACAGGACGCGTCCGACAGCACCTGAACGGGTGGCCGAGGAGGCGTGCTGAGCCACAGCAAGGTAGCCCCCTCTTGGGGTTTCCGGGCCTCTGGCTCACAGGCTGTGTCTTGCTTGTCTCTACCTGTCTGGTCAGCAACGCTGCTCATGGCCACAATTGGAAACAGCCACCTGCGCCTCGTCATCGCCCCCTCGGCGGAATCCCCACCTCGTCTGGAAGTGTGGAAGTGCATGCGTATATGGCCCTGAACTCTGGGACAAGCCTGTACCACGGCCAGCGCTGCGGGACAGACGATCGAGGAATTGAGACAATGACAATGACAGTTGAGGCTTGATGATGACTGCCTACGAATGGGGTTCCCGAAGCTCGGTAGATCGATCACCTTGTCGGAGTCGGAGCGATCATGCTGGAGTAGCGTCTACTGGGCATTTCTCTCCTCAGTCGGGGTCCCGTGCCTGTGCCTGAACCTTGGCCTCGACACCCAGGTACCGACCGAGCTTACGACCCACCAACAGCTGCCAACATCGAGTGGCTGGGTACCTATCTACCTACCGTAGGTACCGACCTACTTACCATGTACCCATCTAGGTAGTGGGCTGCGGCTCGGTGAGGAGAAGGACGAGCATGCCAGGTGCCGTGATGCGACTTGGCCTGCACGTGTGCACATCCTGCGCAAAGTGTCCGTAGGCATGATGCAGCTCATCGACAAAAGATAATCTGACGGCGAAACAGTATCGATTTTGCATTGTACACATACCGTAAAGTAAAGGAAATGAGACGTCCGCATTGTGGGGAGGCGCGGCTTCAGACGCTTGCGTGGAGGCTCCAGTGTCTGCGTAGACGTTCGGAACTCGTCAGGACTGCTGGCTGGACTGGGGAACCCCCCTCCCCCCCCAGCCCAGCTTCAGTGCCGTTTGGCAGGTACAGGACGCTCTTCAGTGGCTCTGGCCGGCCGGTCGCAACGCACCCGACCACCGACGACGCTCTTTCCCTCCTTCATCAGTGCGACTCGCCCATTGGCAAAGTGGGGCTCCAGCCTGGAGAGATACGTACCCACCTGGCCGTCTGTCTCCGCTCTGAGGTTGCAGGCCATCTCCCATTGGCTGTTGCCGCACAGCTTACGCGTAAGGTGCACTTGCGGAAGACAGCCCAGAGAGCACCACACGCAGAGGGAGGCAGGCGGGACCCTTCACCAGTGCGTCCCTCTTTATTCCTTCCCCCCCTGGTGTCCACTGTTCACAGCCCACTGTCCACCGCCCCAATTCATGTCGCCCTCCTCCCGCTGGCACGTCTGCCATCCGCCTGCCTGCCTGCCTGTCTGCCCGTCCTTCCACCTTCAACCTACTTGCCTTACAGACACAACACCAGACGCAACCACCCCCCCCTCCCCCTTCCCCTCTTCGTCAACCGCCCACGCAATCACCGGGTCAAGACAGGAGTACGAGCGCGGCTCAGACGCATCGAGCCATCACAGCAACACTTGGACGCCGGGTTCGACCAACAACCGCAGCGCGCGTGCACTCGGCAGCGTCCATCTTGCGCCAACCCTTCGACGATCTAGGTACCCCGTGCGTGCCTCGAACAACGGGACCGCTACGCAGCATCGAAGTCGCGCGACACCCTCAACATTGACAGGGGACAAGCACGGCAACGGCTCACGACGACGGCTAGTGATCTACCCCACGACACGCGGCGCATCTTTTCGTCTCGAACTGCATCTTTCCACGCCGACAGAACAACCCAATCTCCTCGCTCCACCAAAGCCACTGAAGCCTTGACACACACCCCCGTTCTGTGTGGGAAACCGTACCCATGAAGATCCCATTTCACCCCCTCGCTTGTAGTACAACTCTTTGATCCCCGAATTCACGTACTAACTGAACCGTTCCCTTGGGGACGCCTCCAACG